AAAAAAAAAAAAAAAAAAAAAAAGAATACTGAAGACTGTTCTTTGTGTGTACCAGGCAAATAATAATAATTGTGGGAGGCCTAAGGCTCCCCCACCACCCTTGCTCTCTTCTTATGCCCCAATTATCCCTATTTCTATATCTTTAACAGGTATTGTATGAAAAGAACACTTTCTGCTCTAGTCACTTTCTTACCAGGACCTGAAAAGCAGTCAACCTTTCTACCATTGGGAATTACCAAAGTACTTAGCACCCTTTTCCACCAAAGGGAATATTAAAAACAAATAACCATGTAGAGAGGTGCACAAATCCTAATGATAAAGCTCAATGAACTTTCACAAAGGGAAGCACACAATGTAAACACTACTGAGATCAATCAATAGACAATTACTGGCGTTGCAGAAGCCTCGTGCTCCCTGCCATCCCCAGCCCCCCATCAAAGGAAACTACTGTCTGACTTCATGTTAATTTTGTCTACTTTTAGGCTTTATAAATAGAATTATAATATTTTGAGTTATTGAGCATATGGACACTTTGGGGGGATACAGAATTCATAGCTCTCTGAATCTGAAAAGAAGATTTAAGAAACATTGTAGGTTCCTACAGGAAAATTATGGTCATGTTAATTATGGTAAGAGGTGGAAGAAGTGATGGGATCAGGTCAAAGAGGGTATGAGAGTTGTGCAGAAATAAGAGTCACAGAGTCAGTGATACAACAGAAGTAATCTGACAGTGTGGAAGAAATAGTTTATATTGATCATTTTCTTTTAATAATGCCTTTAAAGGTAGGTAAACACTTGTAAACCTGTTCTGTTAGAAAGTTCAGGTAAACTAATCAGACAAACTAAAGAACAGCTTTAGAATGAGACAGGTTATCTCTAGAGTAATCCAGGGGGAGTCTCACTATTAAAATTAGCTTTTAAAGCTTTTATCCATATAATTAAACCAGGCATCTGGCAAATAAGTACCTGGTAGACTGAAGGAATCAATGACTTGTCTGTCTGTTAATATACAACTAACTTCCAACAGTTTTGTTCTCGTAGCCCATTTCGCTGTAGGTAGCCGTAGCTTCCAGGCTGGGAATTGTGTAGCTGTAGAGTGTGCACAGACCTGTTAGGTCAGGATTTAAAATCTGATTCTGTGACTTCATTACCCTCAGTTGTTGGGCAAATAGTTTCACTTCCTTTGGGCTGTAGTTTCTTCATCTGTGATGTTTCAGGAAGAGATCGCTCTCTTCTGAAGTGTTCAGAAAAATCTCTACGAAGAAATGTGTTACTTGGGCTAGTTATAGAAGGCATGGTTAACCCAGGGGGATGAAGTGTGGCCCTTTAAAACTATAATATGATGAAGTATAGAATAGTTGGATATGCATATGCTGTAGTTTTGAATAATAGCTGTAAATATTCTTTCATAGTTAATAGTCTGCATGCTGTCATTGTACAACTTCTTAGGAAAGTTGTAAGCACTTTTTATGTTGTGGTTAGAACATATAAGTATAGTGTTTGGCTTGTCTGATTATTGTTTCTAATCAGCTTGGTTCGGGTATATTTCATACAAAAAAATTCATCCATTTTAAGCCCACAGTGCAATAGTGTTAAACTGGTATGCCATTGTATCCACCACCACAGCCAAGATTAAAACATGTCCATCCTTCCCTAAAGTTCCTTCCTGTTAACTTGCAGTCAGTCCAGGCAATCCCCAATTCCTCCACCCTGGCTCTTCCAAACATCCTAGGATATCATATAAATGGAATCGTAGTTTGTTGTCTTTTGTGTCTGGCTTCTTTCACTTACCAAGTGCTTTTGAGA